GCCTAACGCCCTCGTTTAGCCTAACAGAGTGTTTCCTTATGGTTCTAATACAATGAACCAATTAGGCAAACAGTGCTTTGTGGAGTGCTGCAGAGCGTCCCACACACCTCAGGGGCAATCGCTCAATTTCCTTACACGCGCTAGTCTTCAAATGGTTTATTCTGCGAGCAAAAGAATAGTTGCTCCACGCAGAGTGCCACGTGTGTGTTCCGGGTGAAGGGAGATCAGAGCTCTGGAGGGTCGGAACTTGGCCTGGGAAATCTGTACTCATCGTGGCTGCCAAAGTCCCGCTTAAAACTTCATCAGGGCTGTCAAGAGCGAGTAAGACAGCAAGGAAATGGTATTAACCTGAAACCCTCCACCTGCAAAAACCTCCAGCTCCCTGAAGTTGGAAGGTGTTGCAGACGCCCTGCCCCCATCCCCAGGCCGGGCCGGGTGGGGCCGGCAGCTCCGGATGGCGCTCGGCCTCCCCCAGCGCTGGGTCCCCGCCCCCGGCCCCGCGGCGCGCGGCGGACTACAACTCCCGGCGTGCCCCGCGCGCCGCCGGGCTCGGGCTCGGCTCGGCGCGTGGCGGCCGCCCAGCTCCGTGCGGGGCGACCCCCGGCGCGGCCGTGCGCGGAGGTAAGTGATCCGCTCCTCGGCCCGGGCGTGGGAGCGCGCCCCTCCCGGCCAGGAGGCGAGGAAGCGAGGAAGGCCGCGAGGAAAGCCGCTCTGCCCTGGCTGGTCTTCGCGCGTGTCCGGTGCTCCGGCAGCTTGTTGCATCCTCGGGCGCGGACTCGGTCGCCCTGTCCCGCCGACAGCCCGGCGCGCCCGGGACCGCGGGGCAGAGCTCGGGGCCGGGCTGGGCGGCGGCGTGGCTCGGCAAGCACCACCCCCACCCCCTTTTTCCAAAGACTGGTTCTTTCTTGGGAGCCCACACTAAACACCAGCGAACTGTTCTCCTGTACAGTCTTAGCCAGAAACTTTCCCCTCAGTGTCACTGGTGCCGCACGGAGTTGTTGGGCTCTCGGCCGGCGGTGCTCGGTCCCGTCCTCACTGTCCCCTGTCCAGGCTGCTCTTCACTCTTCCACGGGACGCCCTTTGGGACGCGTGGAGCCCGGCCCTGCTCTGGGCGACTTCGGGCTGGAGGCATCCGGGGGCGGGTCCCGAAATGGAGGCGTGGACCAGCGGTTCCTTGGGACGGCGCGGGTCTCCTCTGCCTGGGGGATGAGTACCGATCAATAAAAGAAGCCAATCGGAAACAGTTTCCCGCCCTTCCTGAGCCGCCTCCCCTCCCCCATCTGAACCCACTTCCTAAAGTGCCCGAAAAGTTCTGCTGCAGAGTCGCGCGCAGGAGTCTCCAAAGGTACTTTAGCACACCCTGCTCTGTGCTCGCTCCCCAGCCTCCCGTCTCTCTCTCACACGCGTGCACCAGGCACACTACACACGTTATGCGACCACATACCACGTAATACACGCTGAACACACATTACACTCCATTTATGCTACACACTACACACACATCATTTTTATCAGCAGAGGGTTAATGTCAAACAGTTTGCTGGAGGGTGTGGGTGGGTACTGGCATATGTGTATGTATATTCCCAAGTGTCAGTTTATTACCAAAGTTAGAGACTAGCTGGTAAGTGAAGCCTCCTATTTTCATAATTTATTAAATAGAATAGCCTGTGGTGCATTTTTTATAAAATGGAATTGCTTTTTTACAACACCTTCTGAAACCTTACACTTGTCTAACTGGCAAACTTTTGATCACAGCAGGCAAGATGAGAGGGGATATCCTTTTCCACATGTAGAAAAAAATGCTTGAAAAAACTTCACAGAATCCTTTCTCCCATGACTGGTGCCCAAGGAAGAACTGGGCGTAACTCCATTTTCTTTTCCTCATTGCCCTGTGAAGTGAACACAATTTGATCTGAGCGGTTGGTGTCAGGTGAAAGAGGTCTTTATCTTCACGAGAGTCCATCATTTTGATCAGCAGTGAGGAAAGGTCTAGATACCTGACCTCCCTCAAAAAATGATACTCAAAAAATATTTGAACGCTTAGAATTGGTTCCTAGACATGATTATTTGGTTTTTCGAGGGGTAATGCCAAAAATAGGTAGAAAGAACACTTGGCATTTTTCTTGGTCATGGTCTTTCAAGAAGTTGAAGATTTCTAATAGTATTCCTGAAATAAGGGGAGGGGGGAGTTGACCTTGAAATTCAGTTTCCAAATTTAAATCTTAGTTGCTGATCTCCTAGCGTTCTTAATGATAGCAGAAGAAAAGGGGGGTGGGGTGGGCAGGCAGCTTTCTCCTCAATTCTACCTGAAATGTATTAAGCAACAGATAATTTTACCGGGATCCTTCTGGGGAACCTGTATCTTCTGCACTATCTTGAGGAGTTTTGTTGACATCTTGATCTAAAAGCATCTAAAGGTTGACTGGTGTTTATTTCAATGAGGATGCAACCATGCAGGTTTTCTGTGTGTGTGAAGAATGTTTATGGGGTGGGATTGTTTCCCTGGAAACAGTGGGTTCCCAGCTAAGCAAGGGAATTGTGAGATTGGCCAGAGGTAACTTAATGAAAAAACTACCCAATCTCTATTCCATTTCCTTATTTTCTGAACTGGGATTTAGGGTGGTAGTGGGAGAGACTGAATGATCTTCTTATGTATATGTAACTAATACAATGCCAGGTACTCATAGGTTGTACGTGTTGGTTGAATTTGTTGAATTATGTTTTTTGAGCAACTGAGATAAATAGTTAAAGATTAACACCTCCCTCCCAGCACTGATTGTTTTCATTTTGTAGAATAAGGTTTTGTTTGTTTCGGTTAGAATTTTTGCTGGCTTCATTTGGTAGGCTGAATGCCAACATAAAAGAATGTGGGTGTTTTCAGAAGATCTGGTCATCTATTTTGCATCCTCGCTGAAATACGGTACTTCCTGCCTAATGAAGTAAAAGGATTTGCTGCTGGGCAGTGCTCTCCTTATTCTCACAAAGAGATTACTTAAAAGCCAGCCCTGGGAACTTTGTCCACGAGTCTCTGTTAGGAAAAAAAAGAGGAACACAGGACTGCAGCTTCAGAACGTTCACTGGTTATAGCCCATAAGCGCTGGGTTCTCTTCTTTTTTTCCCCACAAGGGAGAAAAAGAAATAGTTTGAAACATGACATTCATGCTCCAAACAACAGCAAAAGCCCTATCACGCAGCAACAAGGAAGGGGAGGGAGAAAAGGAGAGGCTATTGAGACAGCTTGTTTTTCTTTGTACAAGGCAGGTGTAGGGAGAATTCTGTGGGGTTGGGACTGGAGATTCATTCACTTCCAGGAATTGTGCTGACGGTAGTTAGCCAAAGTGAACAGGCACACTGTAGCTTTAAAAAGTCAGCCATGAACCAGAAGGCAGTTGGTGCAGCTTGTGTGTGAGTCCTAACGTCATGTTGGCTGAGAGCCAGCCTGGTTTTATTTCACTGTGTCAAATTGTACCTCCTTATTGAATTCCTTTGCCAGCCTACTTTGTGAAAGAAAACATTGGGGTTTCTTTGGCTGTTCTTGATAAGCCCATAAAAAATGATATGTTTTAGTTGCTTCTAGGTAGGTTTTCTTTTTACTCTTCCACCAAAAAAGGGGGAAATAATAGTAGTAATAATAATAATAATGTAGTGTGATGTTACAGAGTGTCATTGTGTTTTGTTTTGTAAGAGGCTTAGAAAATGGTGAATGGGTAACAGTTTCCAACTGAAGTGAAATCATTCTTCTCTGGCATGAAGCAGCACTATCTTTCTGTCTCTGGAACGGTGTGTGAATGGATGCTAATATCTGGATGTATATCAATGTTGGATTTCTCTAGCGATGATCGAAGTGGTTTAGCAACTGGAAGTTTGTGTGTGGATGTGTGTGTCAGGAGTGAGGATTATCCCACACTTACGGCGTTATTTGGTAATCATCTACTTCTCGAACAGCGATAAAATCTCGTGAATATACTAAATGATGCACCTGTCATGTCAGAGCAATCCCTCGGGAAGGAGTGCCGAAGTATAAAGTGATTGGGGAGGAAATGTATTTAATTTATGGCTTCAGCTGAATAAGCGCAAACACGTTTCAAGGGGCTGGGTTTTTTTTCCCTTTTTTTTTTTTCTTAAAGCAGTTTGGTTCATAGCTTTTTCATCTTCCTAATTGCATATTAATTGTGGAGGGTTTTTATTTAATTTTTTTTCACAGTCCTCATCCTCCTAAACAAAAAGACAAAGTGATAGATGCTACTGTAGCTCAAATGTTTTGATGATTTTTCATAAATTTAATGAGCTTCCTCCTCTCCCTTACGCGCGCGCACGCACACACACAAACCCTCACACACACACACACACACACACACACCCCACCTTTCTGTGCATAAAGGCTATCTGGCATTTTTGTGAGCTCCTGCGTTGCCACAGCCTGGCCATCTCACAGACGGGTTTTTAAGGCTTTCACTGAGAATATGTGAGGTAGGGGAATACTTGCTGACAAAAGCCTCAAGTGCCTTCTGCATTGCAATGAAAAAAATCCAGGAGCAGGGGAGTGGACAAAAAAAAAAATATATATATATATATATATATATGAAAAAAAATCACAGCCCATCGTGGGAGGGGGGCAGGAAAAGGGGGATTGTTTTTCTCTACTTTGACTCATTTGTGAGTTGCAGTGTCTTCAGTGAGAGCTTGGCACCCAGAGGAAGCTGTGCCAGCTCACACAGCACTTGTTTTGAACGTGGCTTCAATTTCATTTGCAAATGCTTATTGTCAAGGCAGGGAGTGCCAGTCCAGATGAAAGCACCCCAATCCCTCTCGTCTCCTCCAGCTCTGTAGGTTTAATCACCTCTCTCCAATCGCGGAGGGAACTGGAGATTTAAACAAACGTACGTGAACTGTTGTGAAGCTGGAAAAGGGAGCTTTGTGTTTCCGACTCAGAATATCTATTCTTCTCTCACTTTCTAAGAATTAAACACAAGCTTTTCTCCCTTATTGATTAGTTGCTGAAGTAAAGGAACCCTGCAGCCTTCCCATGCTATCTGTTGACATGGAAAACAAGGAAAATGGCTCTGTCGGTGTAAAAAAGTAAGTGAAGCTGGCTTCTGAGTTCTGCTTCTGCAAACAACAGAGGGACTTGGTTTCTATTTTCATTCTTCTGGCTTATGTACTACAGTACCACAGTTGGGGGGTTGTCTTGGTTTATCTGCACTGGCCACCAGCCTCCTTGCTCCCCCCACCCCCAGTTACCTCTCTCTGAATTCCATTTCTAAGACAGATGACTAAGACATCAAAACGTTTATGAAAGGTTTGTGTGCCAGGCTTTGGAACAAGGACAGTTGAGGATCTCAGCCCTGCTTTCTGTATATTGAAACAAAAACTCCAAGCAAGCATAGCCTCTGCCTTCCAAGTCTATAGGCTACAGGGTGGGGGGCAGAACATAGATCTTCCTTTTTTTATTTCCCCCCTAATAAAATCACCTCTAACTCTCAAAACTAAAACTATGGTGTAGGAAGGGAAAAGGCTTGGGTAAGATTACTAAGTTGGGACAACTGCTCTATCCTAATTTTATGAACTGTGCATTGAACGTGAAACATTTCAGTGCAAACCATGGTGTTCTATTTTAATGTCAGTTCTCACGTTTGAAACTTCTGATTATACGTGTTGTGTAAGAGTTATATGCTTGATTCTTTCAAGTAGGAAAATTCAGTTGTGTTGTATAGCATAATATTTCAAAATAAAACAAAAAGATTATCTGTGAGTCTAAGGACAAAAAATGAATAGTCTCATTTAGGAGTTATATGGAAGCAATAACTACTTTGATTACAGGGAGAAAGGAAATTCCAAGAGGGTGTTTCTTTCCATGTCATTTAGTTTAAAATTGCCATCAACTTGAGCTTTGGAGGAAACTAATTAAATGTAATCCATAGAAGCTGTGATATCTAAATGAGGAGACAGTGTACTATATGTTTATGAATAGAAGATATATTTTGCTGTGTAGCAAAGTAGCATTAAAATTGACTTAATAAAAACCTGTTTTTTCAGATTCTTGAGTAATTTGTAAATCAGCGCCAGGCCATGTTGCCAGGCCTGTTGCCATTCTTGAAGTTTGGGGTAGGTGGATGTAGGTGGAATGGAAGAAATGGATGCCTTTTTATGTATGAGCTGGACCGTTGCTGCCTGGCAGTGTTTTCAGCAGTGAAGGAAGTGTTCTGTATTTGAGCTAAGATGGTAGCCACGAGCCACAAAAGGCTAATAAGAACTTGAAATGTGACTAGTGTAGTTGATGAACCGAACGTTTTCTTAATTTTAATCAATTTTAAAATGAACAGCTTTATTGAAGTACACTTGACCTATAATAAACCGCATGTTTAAAGTATAAAATTTGCTAAGTTAGGATATTTGTGTACATGGATGGAACTGTGACCCCAATTAAGATAATGAAAGCACCCATCATCCCCAGTGCGTTCTAAATGTGCCCTCACTAACTTGGTACGACCAATCTTTTTTATACATTATATTAGATGTGGTTTTAATTTTCATTTCCCTAATGACTAGAGATGTGAAGCCCCTTTTCCTGTGGATATTTGCCATCGTGTCTCTTCTTAGGTGAAGCATTGTTCAAATGTTTTCCCATCTTTTTATTGGTTTAGTTTTTCTCATTGTTTATAGGGAGTTTTTATATATTATGAATATAATCCTATATGTGATTTGGAAATATCTTCTCCTAGTATGTGGCTTGTCTTTTTATAATTTCTACCGTATCTTTCAAAGGCTAGAAGTTCTTAAATGTTTATGAAGTCCCATTTATCAATTTTTTCTTTTACGGATAGTGGTTAGGTATCTTATTTAAGGAATCTTTGCCTAACGCAAGGTCTCAATGATTTTCTCCTGCATTTTCTTCTAGAGCTTTTATGCTTTTAGCTTTTAGGACGTAGGACTATGATTTTTGAGTTAATTTTTGTTTGTGGGATGAGATAGGGATTGAAGTGTTTTTGTTGGTGTTTTGTGCTCATGGCTATCCAATATTTTCAACATGACTTATTCAAACCCTTTTGCAACTTTTTTGAAAAATAATTGATTACATATCCGTGGGTCTATTTCTAGACTCTTTATGCCCTTGACACACAAATATAACACTATTTTGATAATTATAACTTGAAATTAGGTAGTCTTAGCTGTCCAGCTTTGTTTTTCTTATTCAAGATTGTTTTGCTTCTTTACATTTCTATGTGAACCTTAGAATCAGCTTGTCAATTTCCACCAGAAAACAAAAAAAACACCAAACCTACTGGCATTTCAGAAGGCATTGCATTGAAGTATAAATCTATGTGGAGAGAGTTAACATCTTAACTATATCTTCTGACAAATTAACACAGTATTTTTCTCAATCTGCTTAGGTTTTTAATTTCTTTGAGCAATGTTGTGTAGCTTTCAGTGTCCAAATCTCACCTTTTTTTGGTCATATTCATCTCTACATATTTCATGTTTTTGATGCTATTTTAAATGGTATTGCTTTTTTAACTTGAATTTTCAATTATTTATTTTAGTATATATGGTAGAACCTCCCTACATTGGCTCCCTCCTTACATTGACCTAATTTTTGTAGACATGTCAGTATAGTGGGCTTGGTTAGTTCCTTCTGTTGGCCAGTCTGTTACAGTCCTTTGGGCGGTCAACTTACAGAGGTTCTGCCATTGATTTTTGTACCTTAGTCTTGCATGCCAGAGCCTTAGTAAGCTCACCTGTTATTTTCTAGTAGCTTTTTGTAGATTCTGTGGTTATGTTTCAACTACAGAATTGTATCTTCTGAATTAAAAGGACAGTTTTACTTTTTCCTTCCCCATCTGGATGCCTTATATTTCCTTCTCCTTTCTCACTTCTCTGAGTAGAACCTCCAGTGAAAGGTGAAAATAGGGTTCGAGCAGGCCTTCCAGTTTGGTTTCTTATCTTAGCATTTTCCTTATCTTTGTTCTTTGGTGTGTGTATGTCATTTCTTCCTGTACGCTTCTAACATTTAATCCTTGTCATTGGCATATTAAGCAGTTAGTGAGGTTTGGTGTGGTTTTTTTTTTCATGTTTCTTGGTTTTATATCTTGGATCTGTGTGTAGATCTCGTTTTCATCAAGTTTGGAAAATTGTTAGCCATTATTTTTCAGATATTTTTGGTTCCTCCCCATTCTCCACTGGGCACTCCAATTATGTGTATATTTCATTGTTTGATACCGTCCATCATTCACTGATGTCCTGTTCCCTTTTTAAATTTTTTTTCTCTGTGTTTCATTTTGGGTAGCTTCTATTGATTTGCATCCAAGTCCACTGGTCTTTTCTTCTAAAACATCTAATATTTATTAATCCCATCCATTTCTCATTTCATACACTTCCTCTCCTGAAGTTCAGCTTGGAACTTTTTTATATCTCCGTGGCTCCACTTAAAGGATTCATTATTTTCTTCTGGCATCTCCAGTGTATAGAATACGCCGTGATAACTGTCTCAGTGTCTTTGTTTACTGATTGTATCATTTGTATCATTTCTTAATCAGTTTCAATTGATTTCCTTTCTTCTCATTATGGGCTGTATTATTCTGCTTCCTCGCATGGCTGGTAATTTTTGACTGAATGTCAGACATTGTGAATTTTACCTTGTTGGTGCTGGGTATTTTTATACTTCTGTAGATATGCTTGATATTTATACAGGGATGCTGTTAAGTTACTTGGAAACAGTTTCATCCTTTTAAGTCTTGCTTTTAAATTTTGTTAGGCAGGACCAGTGCTGCGTTTAGTCTAAGGGTAATCCCCCCCCCTTTTTTTTACTGAGCACTCTAATCACTGCTCCTGAGTTATGAGATTTTCTTCTCTGAAAAAGGTAGGAAAAGGTACTAATTCCATCCCTGCATGTTCTCCAAGGATTATTCCCTTTAAACTCCCCGGGATGGTTTCCCACCTCAGGTAGTTTCCTTACATGCTGCTGCTGACCAGGGCTCTGCTGAATCCTCAGGGGCAGCCTCTGCAGCCCCCTACTTTCTCTCTGTGCACAGCCAGAGAACCTTCCTCAGGGCTTATCTTGCTTGCTTCCCATCTCTCGGAAATCTCTGTCCTTTACCGCCTATGACCAGTGTTTTTGAGTCCCATGTACCGTTTCAGAGATTGTGTATGTTTTTCAGTTGTTTCAGGCAGCAGAGTAAATACAGCTCCCGCTCTCTGTTCTGACCGGACGTTCCAGTTAGTTTACATAGTTGCAAGTGGCTAACATGTGGGACAGGGAAGGGTTAGATTTTGAGGCAGGATCCCTAAGGTGTAAACATAGGGTCTTAAGGCCGTGTGTGGAAGGGGCTGTTCTGTGCCTTGTAGTGTATTTAGCTGCATCTCTGTTTTCTGAACTAGACGCCAGTTGTACCCTCTCCAATCTTGATAATCAATGTCCCCAGGCATTGCCTAATGTTCCCCGAGGGGCAAAGTGATTCTCAGTTGGGAACCACTGCTCTAAGCTAGCGTCCTCATGAGGAATGCCTAACAGGGTGACCTCTTGGTATCAGAAAGTAGTTTACATATTTGTCCTGGTTCTTTCTACTTTGAGACTTTAAAAAGACCATGAATTTTTAAATATTTCAATCTGGAGCTTCCTCTGCTTTCCTTCTCCTGCCTCTTTATATATCATAGGAAAGAGGCGGGGGAGAGAGGAAGAATAAAGCAAATGTGGTAAAATATTAACATTTGGGGGAATCTGGGCATATGGGATTTTTGTACTATTCTTGCAACCTCTCTGTAAGTCTGAAATTTTAAAAAAAAAAAAAAGCCTTAAAAAAATAAAGCCAGTTTGTTAGTTGGGGGAGGAAATTTTTCTTCCTTTAGGAAAGAAGCAACACTCCTAGCTGGGATTTGGAGCCTTGGTAGAGGTGTGAGGGGGTTGGGGTGGGTTAACCGTGACATTGCCATGGAGAGAACTCTTGACTTCGCCAAGTTTTCGTTTCGGAAGGCTTGAGTTTGACTTTGTCTTCCTTTCTTCACCAGCAGAAGAATACGTAAGAAATAAATCATCTCATTTCACTTTGCCTCGGCCCTCTTGAATGTGAAGTAAAATTGGAGAG